GGGTGCCACACAGTCAGGTACTCCTGCAGCTTGGAGCCATAAAACACGTCTCATCTTGGACAGCAAAAGGGAAATCATATTCCCACCCTGTGAATACAACAGCTTCCCAAGAATTCCATTGTAATTGCAGAACAGGGCCGGAAATGCAGCTGTATTCCCAGAGCAACCTGGAGATATCTTTTTCAGCAGCCCTGGTGTCCTGCTTCCCTTTGCAGCTGTGGGTTCGCATTCCAGCATAAGCACAATTGCTGGCCATATGACGTAACCCTAGCTCAGAAGCTGTATGAGTTACCCAAGAGCCATGTTGCAGCCAACACTACACAACGCAATAACAGTTTCTTTGCTTTTGAGGCAAGGGCCTCAAACACGCATAGTATTCTCAAACATGCATAAGAAGTATTTGTTTATAATGTAAGTCTTTAATGGGCAATAAGACTCTTATCTTTGAACAGATGCTTGCAAATACGTTATACTACTACCTTCATATCAAGAAAGCATCCAAAATCTGAAGAAAGAGGAGTGGATACTTTATCAGGCCAGATAGTGAGTTTTGTGTTTTATTCAATACTGCCAGCATGTTGTCCTGTGCTACTAGAACCACAAGTTCATGGAAAAGCCATTGAAAACAAACGAGCAGTGAGACTGAAAAAGGAGAAGGAAGAAGACAACTGAAATCTGATAGTAATTACGTGAAGAGACATAGCAATGACATGAAGAGCTACTTCATGGACTATTAGCTACCAAACTATTCCCCCCCAATCTTGTCCTAGTTATGTTAGCTCACTAAGGAACTAGCAATCCATTATTTGACACAAATAAGTTAGTAGTAACACACTAAACCAGAAAGGGTCCTAAGTTGCACCTGACACCAGACAATAGCTTGAAAACACAAGTACTTGCCACTGAGTCTGCCAGTTCTAACAGCTCACAGTCAAGCTTTGCATTTCCCTAGCTTCCTCACAGCTTCCTTAACAACTCCGCTGCCAGATAGCAAGAAGTTGTATGGAAACCCACAGCATTCCCCTCACTTCGCCCCCTAAATCGATGGTATTTGGTCTTGAAACTGTTTATGAATTGACCTAACACTGAAGAAATCCAGCTGCAAGATATGAAGGAAAACACCCTTCTACACAGCAGACACCCATAATACAGAGCAAAATAGTTACTTCCAGGATTCCTCAAAGCTGAGGTATGCATGTGCTTATCTTCTGATGCTCATATTTGGACACCTGTAGTGTTTTGCCTCTTGTGAGATGAAAACATAATCTAAAGTGATAGTTCATATGCTCAATTTACAATTGCTAGGATAACTGACCTGTGTGGGAGGAATCTAAATAAAACCACTCAGAACACTTGGTTAAGAGACAAATGTTCTGACAATCTTTTATCATGGATAATAGGGTACACCTACTTGCTGGTCTTTTCTGATCATTTCTTGAGGTCTTCTGTCACTGAAAACAGGTGACAGAACCTTTCTTTCTCCAGATTTCCCTGAAAGCTTACCCACCTTCACTTTTCAGCCATTGCCATTAGAGCTATGTAAAACAAGATAGCATTTCCTTCTTAAGGCAGGCTTAAGAAAGCACGCTGTTTGAATTGGTTTGATTATAATGTCTGTTTAAAGCTGAATATCCAAAACTGATGCATTAGACTCGAAAAAACCATAGTTTTATTCCTGCTAGTTTGTACAACTGAGTTGGCCAGTGTTGCTTCTGTAAACACATCCACACAACCTGCACAGTAGCTCTGCAGAGGAAGTTAGTGCCATAAGGCAGACATTCCCTAGGCAATAACAAAAAGACCTCACCACACAGTGGTTTATAACATCCTAAAAAGCACACAGGAGTAATTGAAAAGAAACCAAACATTTCCAAAAAAGCTTGTTTCCAAAGATGGAGATACACGCTTGATAGCTGCACATCTAATTGGAATAGCTGGAACATAGCACGTGCCTTTATTGCAAGGTATCTCTAAAGAAGAAGTTAGAACAACCAAGATGAGGCCATTTGTATTGAAATAATAGCTCGGCTATTCTAACAGAACATAGTGTACATACATAAAGAAAGGATACTCATTCCCCCATCTTTCTGCCTAGGAATCATAAAGCACCCATTGAGGTATCCAGCTTTTAAGTTAATGGAACATGACAATACAATTTTATATCCAAGACATTAAGATTCCTCAATAAAGACAAAATATTCAGGGAGAAAATACTTGATATGGCTAAAGTGTTCCTGGCATGTATTTTTATTACATTGTAAGATTTGCTAAGGCAAGCATTTATTTTACTATCAATGCTCAACGCCTATTTTCTTTGCTTTCCCCCTCCTACCATTTTTAAAATCCTAACCACAAAGTAACCAAAGAAAAAAAGACGACAGCCTACAAAGAGTCTTCATAATTATATTACAACAAGATTCTGCTATTTTAGTTTATTTTCTCCTTAGAGTGGTAAGTTTTAAATGAGAAACTAATGTGCCTAAATACAAAGTAGAACTCCTTTAAAGAAGGATGTAGTGTCAGCTGTATTTACTTTTTGTTATCAAAAAGTACTCTGCAGTATTTACTCAGTTACCAGACTGCAAGGATTAAACACATTTCAGTGCAACTCCCCCTCTATCCCTGGCCTACCTATAGGTTTTCCTATAAAACCTGGCACCTGAAGAACTAAGCTCACTACAAAAATACATTTTCTTGAAGTAATGGGCCTCATGAGACTTTTCTACCAGGAAACTTAGAAGACTACAACACATTCATCATCTTAATTATCACTGTCTTATAAAAAGGAAGATTCACAGAGAAACAAGAGCAGCAACGAAATACATGCAGGGCCTGCAAATCACAAGAATCTGTCTTTTCTCAAATTTTATTTTGGAGATTGTGGGAGCAGAAAAAGTTCTTTGGAATTCCAATTCTGACCACAAGCTTTAGATAAGATGTTAGCTCTTCACAAGACTATTCATATTGTGCTAAGCCATCCTGTAAGCTGGATGGATTAGATTTAAGTTACTTCTATCCCTTGGACAAGAGGAACAATGAGGTAAGGGAAATATAAATTTATGTCTGCACAGACTTTTCCACTTACTATGCATTTAGTCATGGCTCCAAAAACCTTGGAAAATCTTCAATTCACTCTCCTATATGAAGTTGTTAGGTTGGAGAAGGCTGAGGAAAAGGCACAGCAAAGGTGATTTTACAGAACTGTTTAAAACCTCAAGGTATTTCCTGCAAAAGAATGAGGGACATGACAGGCACTTTTGGGCTGATTT